CCCATCTGATGGACTGTATACGACTAGCAATCTCAGACTACAACCCAGACTTCAAGACACTGGCAGATACTGTTCAGTCACAGGTGACACACTGAGACTTCGGTATTGGAAGAAAAAATATATAATTATCAATACTTGATTTTAGATTTACAAAATAGCAGAGAACAGAATGTATAATTGTAAATGCTTCATTTGACATTTAAATAGCATTAATTAAAAACAGACCATTTATTTCATAACTATAAACATGTGATTTTAATTTTATACATTGCATAATTTAAAAATAAACTGTTTAACAGAGTGTATAAGGGCTGGGGATAGCAAATGATGGACAGGAGGAGAATAGAGAGGGCGGGGCTTCAAGGAAGGGGCGAGGCAGTAGATCTTCGCCTGTTCGGAGATTTAAAAAGTGATCTTGGGTGTAAAAAGGTTGGAGACCACTGGTCTAGATGGTGCTGGGTCCTGCCATGAGGGCAGGGGACTGGACTCCATGACTTCTCGAGGTCCCTTCCACTTCTAGTGTTCTATGATTCTAAGACTAGAAGGGACCACCAGGATCATCTAGTCCCATGGTCACCAACCAGTCGATCGCGATCTATCGGTCGATCTCAGGAGCTCTAAGAGTAGCTATTGAGCCCTCTCTGAACTGCGTGCCTGTGCAGTACATTTACATTAGTTTTCCTCATTTGAGGAGCAGCTACTCACCGAGCAACAGCACAGGTGAGTAGCTGCGAGGAATGGGGAGAGCTGGGAGGTCGGGAGGGCTGTGGCCCCAGCTGATCAGCGGCTTCTCTGCACCTGCCCACGTGGAACTTGGTGCACCCTGGCTGAGCGCCATGGCCAGCTGGCCGGGCACCCACTTCTCTTCCCTCCAGCCCCGTTGCCCTGCATTTCAGCCCAGGGAGGCTGCATCTAGCTCCAGCTGTGCTGGAGCAAGCTTCCCAGGCTGAGCGCAGGATCACAGATGCCCATCTGATGGACTGTATACGACTAGCAATCTCAGACTACAGCCCAGACTTCAAGACACTGGCAGATACTGTTCAGTCACAGGTGTCACACTGAGACTTTGTTATTGGAAGAAAAAATATATAATTATCAATACTTGATTTTAGATTTACAAAATAGCAGAGAACAAAATGTATAATTGTAAATGCTTCATTTGACATTTAAATAGCATGAATTAAAAACAGACCATTTATTTCATAACTATAAACATGTGATTTTAATTTTATATATTGCATAATGTAAAAATAAACTGTTTAACAGAGTGTATAAGGCCTGGGGATAGCAAGTGATGGACAGGAGAATAGAGAGGGCGGGGCTTCAAGAAAGGGGTGGGGCGGTAGATCTTCTCCTGTTCTGAGACTTAAAAAGTGAGGCCACTGAACCTCGCCCATCCCCACCTCTGGCCAGTCCTCAAATCCTGGCTTAGACTTCAATTGCAGAGAATCTCCCATTTATCCTAGTTCAAACCTGCAAGTGACCCTGTGCCCCAGAGGAAGGTGAAACCCCCCGGGATTCTCTGCCAATCTGCCCCAGGGGAAAATTCCTTCCTGATGCAAGATTTGGCGATGGGCTAGACCCTGAGCTTGTGGGCAGGACCCACCAGGCATCTCAGAGCACCAATGGCTTTAAGTCACTGCTCTTTTGAGCATCGTTCTGTGTGTTTGGGAATGGCTGTACAGAGAACTGACCTAGTGGAATGCAGCCAGAGGAAAGGGGTGTAGTGGTGGAACAGGGTAAGAGAGTCCTGGTGGGGCCATGGGCCTCCATCGTTCTTGTCTTAGTGAATTCTCTGGGTGGGGGTGGAGTTCGAAGCCAATGTTGATGCTTTTTGTACTTGATCACTTTCCTAGCGATTGACATCAGTGCGTCGGATATTAAGGCCCTGTACAGGCGCAGCCAGGCTCTGGAGAGCCTGGGGAAGTTGGACCAAGCCTTCAAAGATGTCCAGAGATGTGCCACCATTGAGCCCAGCAACAAAAACTTCCAGGAGGCCCTGAGGCGGCTGGGAGCCAAAATTCAGGAAAAGGTAAAGGCCTTGGCAACAGAGTTTGGAGTCCAACTGTACGAAAGCTGCAGGTGCACAACGGTGCCCCAGAGCAAGCATGTCTTCTGAGCTTAGGTAGTAATGTTTGAACACACAGCAGGCCATCCTCCAGCCCTCTTAAGGCCAGCACACCACACAGCGAACCACTTATGGGCTGGATAATGGCAGATTGGGGGGCATTAGGAGGAGCATTGCTAGTGGATCTAGAGAAAGTGATTATTCCCCTTTATGCGGCTCTGGTGAGGCCTCAACTGGTAACCTGAGAGTGAATGCTGAGAAAGCTCACATACACAAGAGGGGATGGCATTCACAGTAGAGTGACATGAAGTGCAGTCAAGTTGCAGTGGGGAAGCTCTAGGCTGGATCGTAGCAAAAGGTATTTAACTAGGTGGGTGGTGAAGTACTGGAATGGGTTACCTAGGGAAGTGGTGGCATCACCATCCCTGGAGGTTTTTAAATCCCAGCTTGACAAAGCCCTGGCTGGGCTGATTGAGTTGGGGTTGGTCCTGCTTTGGGCAGGGGGCTGGACTCGACTTCCAGCCCTGGGTTTCTATGGGTCTCTGAGCTTCAGACATGGACGATGGACGTTTACAAAAAGCCAAACCCCAAACGCCATGCGCAGCCTCAGGACAATGGAGTCTGGGGCGCAAGGGCAGACGCCTGAGGCGGAGATTTCCCGTGCTCCTCTCTCCCCAGCTGCGCGTTCAGTTCTCCACCGATGCCCGAGTGCAGAACATGTTTGAAATCCTGCTGGATGGGAGCAGCGAGAGGGAGACGCGGGAAAAGGTGAGACTCCCAGGCAGCAGCAGGCGAGGTGGCTGGTATTACCCTTATCGGGCTCAAAGCCCATCGTCAAGGGCGACTGCCCTCGTCAGCCATTCACCCGCCCTGACACATCCACAAAGAGGGAGGAGCTGACTCCACCGAGCCCCTGAATCGCAGCTCTGGTACCTCCAGCTGAGACCCACCTCTAGCTGCCCAGCTGCTCTTCCGCCCCTCCCCATGGAGCCTTTGCCCACGTCCAAAGGGAAGGACCCCGCCTCGCGCAGGAGAGCTCCCAAGCAGCGCTGCTGCCAGGAAGCGAGTCTTGCCTTGCGGTACCCCCGGCTCCTCCCGCGCGCGCTGCCCCAGGTGGTTCTCTTTGGCCTTGGGGTTAAGCCTTCGGATATTTGCAGGTGGTTCTCAAAGCAGCTCTTCGCTGAGCCGTAGCGCCATGCCCTCTGGTCCCGTGCTACGGGCGCTGCCGCAGCGCGGTGCGTGCATTGTGCTGCAGCCAATGCACAGGGACGGGGCTGCGGGAGCAGGGTGGCGGCGGGATGCGACGCTGCCCGAGCCAGCGGCGTGGCAGGGTGTGGCTTGGGGGAGAAGAGAGCCATGTTCCCGCTCAATAGACCCTGGCCCTGCAGGCACCTGCACTCACCTAAGCCACAGTCTTCACCCACACTGCTCAGCACCCTCCTATGCAGAGGCGGTTGCTAGGGTGCCTGGAAATTCGGGGCCCCACTGGGACAGCAGGTGAGAGCAGCTCGGGAGCTGATGGCTCTTGGTGACGTGACCATGCCCTTCCTAAAGCGCCAGAGACGGGAGGGGAGGCTGGTTACTGCTGCTGCTGGTGAAGCGGCTCTGACTCCGAGAACTGCAGAGCCAAGCAGCAGCCAAGCACGTACCCCTCCCTGCTGGGGTGTCCCAGGCAGCTGCCTCGCTGCACTGATGCCAGGTGGGGGGAGGCCCCGGGGGATGCATAGAGCCCTATAAATCCTCCCAGTGGCCCTGAGAGCTATTTATCCCAGCGATGTGTAGTAGCGCTATGCTGAGAGAACAGGCAAGGGTCACTTACTGCAGGTAGCGAGTTTCAAACTCTATTTTTCTCCTCACCCAGTTGAAGAAAATTGCTGATGTTGTGACCTGACATGATGTGACGGGAGTGTGGGCTCTGGGTGCATAGAGCCCTATAAATCCTCCCAGTGGCCCTGAGAGCTATTTATCCCAGCGATGTGTAGTAGCGCTATGCTGAGAGAACAGGCAAGGGTCACTTACTGCAGGTAGCGAGTTTCAAACTCTATTTTTCTCCTCACCCAGTTGAAGAAAATTGCTGATGTTGTGACCTGACATGATGTGACGGGAGTGTGGGCTCTGGGGCGGGCTGAGGAGGAGCTTTGGGTGAGGAGGGGGCTCCAGCTTTGGGGGGCAGGGCGGGGGCAGGAGGGGCTTCCCCCTAGTAGCTCCTGGTCAGTGGTGGGCCTAAAGCAGC